GAGGGCAGTGTCACTGGCCCTCATATGTGGGATCTGAACCGGGGCCCTCTGGCGTCCCAAGCCAGTTCTTAACCATCACGCCACTTGGCCGGCCCCACTTAAAATATTCTTGAAATCACTGTATCAGTTCACAAGTATTTTCCAGTTTTTTTTTTTTTTTTGAGTTACATCATACTTAATTGTAATTGTGGTTGTAACAGTTTACTTAACTACTTTCCTTGTCGTGGCCATTTAGGATGTTTCCATTGTTTTTGTTAACAAATAATACTACGGTGAATAATCTTTTGTATATGTATACACTTTTGTATTGTTGGAGATGTAATTTGGGGGTATATTTCTTGAATGTAGTTGCTGAGTCAAAAGATAAATGCATATGAATTTTATGAGATATTGATAAAAATTCCCTAAAGGAGAATTTCAACTTGCATTCCTACCTGTGGTCTATGAGAGTGCCTGGTTCCCTACCCTTTAGCCAACAGCGCATGTTACATTTTTCTAATTTTTGCCAATTTAATTGGTGGGAGATGATACCTTAGTGTAGTTTTATTTTTTATGTTTTGGCAATTTTTTATGTGATAAAATACATATAGCCCACAATTTGCCCTTTTAATGATTTTTAAGTATATAGTTCAGTGGCATTAACTATAACTATCACCATTGTACATTCTTCGCACTTTTTCATCTTCTCAAATAGAAACTACTCATTAACCATTAACTCCCTATTGTTCTTTCTCCTTGACCTCTGGTAATCTCTTGCCTACTTTCTGTTGCTATGAATTTGCCTATTCTAGATACCTCATAGAAGTGGAATCATACAATATTTGTTCTTTTGTCTGGTTTATTTCACGTTGTAATTTTTTTTTTTTCTGTTGTGTGAAGTTGAATATCTTTTCTATACTTAAAGTCTCTTACATCTTTGTGCATTGTATGTGTCTTTTGGCTCTTTCTCTAGTGTTTTTAGTCTTTTCCCCCTTAATTAAAAAAATTTTATATGTTAGGTATGTTAGTTTTTTATCTTTGATATACTAGGGGTGCCATCAGGGTGCCAAAAAAAAAAATATATATATACATGACTTTTATTTATCTTTTGTTATCGGTATATATTGAGTTACAATTTTAATACAATTATTTTCTTTCTTAAAATGTGTATACATTTTTTTGGCACCCTCGAATATTGAGAATGTTTGCTCCCTGCTCTAAGTTAGTGAGCTTTTCTCTGCTTTTATAGCCCCTTAGTAGTTATTTTTTGTGTGGATGAAGGCTATTGATTTCAGTAGGTTTAATTTTTTTTACATATCTTGATATGTTACTGAATTTTTGAGTTAATTTTATCATTGATTTTTGTGAGGTGTTCCAGGTATACTTTTATACAAATGCTTAGTTTTACTACTTCTTTTCTAATTTTTACACCTCTAATTGATTTCTCTTGTCTAATTGCCTTAATATTTCTAGTACAGTGTTGAATAGTAGTGGAGAAATTGGACCGCATTCCTGTTGGTGGAAATGTGTCTACTATTTTCACATTAAGATGCTTTATTTTAGGTCTGTACAGTATACATATATATCTTATTATATTAGGGAAATATCTGTTAATGCTTATTTCCTTAAGTCTTTTTGAAAAATCAGGAATGATGATAATTTTTTTTTCTTTTTAATAAAATCAGTGGTATTAATGTTAAGATTCTTTGTACCTATTAATTTGGTGTATTTTAAATTAATGGGAAACTTGTAAACTAATTCATACATAATGTAGAATATTAAACCCAATTGACCTTTTAAAGTAAATTATACTTTTGTGTTGTGGCAGTTTGTTTTTTACCTCTTACAGTGGTATGAATTCATTCTCCTGCATTGTTGTAGAGGTGGGTTTGTGTATATGTATGTATGTATGTTGGTTCCATTCTGTTTGGGTTGTAAAGCTCTGATAGTAGTAAAGTATGGGCTTTAGAGTTAGCTTAATTTCTTATTCCAGTTTTTGAAATTATTCTCCTTTGCCCCCAAGTATATTGCTTTATGTTTCTTAGCCTTGGGTTTCCCTACATATAAAGAGGTAGTAAGTAGTGGGCAGGTAGGGAGTTGGGTGACAATACAGCACTCATAGGCAGGGTGGGTCCAATCCTTGTGGAATTTGAAGCTTGTGTCATTTTAGGGACATTCTTTAGAAGGTCAGAGTTCTTTTTCTTTAAGATAGGCACAGGGCCTTGGGAGGAGGCAAGTTAAATTGAAAGCCTCTGCCATTTGTTTCATTAGCTTTATGTTAACACTGCCTCTGTTTACAGAGCTGTGTTTCCAGAATTGACATAATACAGTGTCTGGTTTCCAGATATTTATTTCTTTTATTACTGTGATTTTAAGTCCATTTTGAGTATAAAAGCAGATGTCATTCGCCTAAGAATCTATACTCCTGGAATAGCATTGGGCCCACATTTTGAGAAACAATTTTTTAGACTATGTTGACTTTGCATTTTGCCTATTCACATGAAATAAAGGTAGATATTCACTTGAGATTCGGTCTTTTGAGTGTCAGTTCTCAATGGCCTTAGCGTTATCCATTACCAATGCGCCTAATTTAAGTGGCTGTTAGAGGTAAAAGTCATGTCTCAATTTAAAAGTGTCTGCCTTGTATCCAGGACCAGAACTTAAAGTAAACTGTAGCTGTTAGAGTGTGGGATCAGATAGTTGTTTGTTCCCATCTCTTCTCTATATTGACGTAAAAAAACCAAAAACCAAAACAAAAAAATAACAAAACAACTTTATGTTTCAGAATAGCTTTAGGTTTACAGAAAAACTGCACAGTAAGTACAGCGAGTTCTCTGTACTACCTCTCCCCCACATAGTCTTTCCTATTAGTAATGTCTATCATAGATTAGTGGGGAATGTGTGCTACAGCTAATGAATCAATTTTTATACATTGTTGTGAACTAAACTCCATAGTTTACATTAGGGATCACTGTCGTGCAGTTTTATGGGTTTTGACAAATGCATAATGTTATATATCTACAGAAAAATTTCACTGCTTTAACCACTCCCCCCCACCCCCCACCCCCACCCCGCCTGTTGTCTTATGCCTGATAAAAAAAGAGATGTAGTAAAAACATTTCTTCTTTGGAAAGTTTATCTAATTGTATTTATTACCCAGATATCATACTTCTGAGATGATTGGAATAACATTGTATTATGTGTCCTCAGAGATCAAGACTTTTATTTTATTTGTTCCCTGTTGCAAATTAGGAGACTTCCTGTGATCAAAGTGAAGGTTCTTGTTCTTCTGAAGAAGAAGAATGGAAAAGTGATAGAAGAAGTGAAAGTTATAGTGAAAGTTCAAGGTATGTATTTTTAATTGTTGTGATCTTTTAATCATTGTAGTTGTAGCTTTGGATGGAATTGTACTTGACTGGCATTTTATGGAACAATTAACATTGAGTTTTTAATACATTTAAAAGGAGAAGAAAACTGGATTAACAGCTATTTATTTCTATAGAAAATACTTTGAATATTTTTATTTAGCTGTAAACATTTTGAGCCAGCATTGTAAAATATGTGTATTCAAAATGTCAATTATTCTTGGGCTGTATTCACAAAGAGCAGTATCCAAAGTATTTGTGGTAAAACCATCATTACATTCATCACTAGTTATTGTATGTATTATGTTTTGGTATCCAGATTTCATGGGACCAAGATGTTAACATCTGTTCCTCATCTTGGTAAATGTCAGGTTTGTCCTGACGGATGCTCAAGCCATAAACCTGCATGTCATTCTCTTCACAATGTATCCATCATCAAGTCTAGGAAGTTCTCCCTTCTAAATATGACTCAAATGATCTTATTTCTGTTTCCACTGACACTGCTGGTCTAGACCACCATACTATATATACGTCCTGCTTCCTTTCTTGTCTTCTTTTATCCATTGTGATTAAGAACTGGAGTGACGGTTAGAACACATGTCTTCTCTTTAAAAAAAATTTTTTTTAATTGGAAAATTTACATAACATAAATTTATTTCTTAACCATTTTTAACTGTACAGCGCAACAGTGTTAAGTACGTTCACAGTGCTGTGCAACAAATCTCCAGAACTCGTTCAGCCTTGCCAATCTGAAACTGTTCCCATTAAACAGTAGTTCTGTCTACCTCACCCCCCAAGTTCCTGGCATTCACTGTTCTCTTCTGTTCCTGTGTTCATTGTCTTCTAGTTCAGCTTTTCTTGAATTTTATTACACAGAGTAGATGCTCTTAATTTTTTTTTTTAACAGCTGTCTTTATAATAAGTAGCTTTTGGAAATGTTTGCATTTGTGTGAGTGTGTGTTTTATCGAGCCTGGAAGGTACGTGGTTGGCCAGTGATGCCCCAGTGGGCCCTTCACCATCTTTTTCTGTGTTTGCTGAAGCTCGTTGTGGGCTGGGAACTGGGTGGTGTTCTGGATCAGTTTCCTGTTTGATTCTGCTTTTGTTCAGGGCGGGCTACGTCCCTCTCTTTGATCTTCTGTCACAGCGGGGCAAGGCCCTCTCCCGGCAGGAAGCTCTGATCACACACAGCTTTCTGTTTGCTGTGGCCACACTTTCCTTGGGCTTCTCAGTATATTCACTGATGGTTTGTCATTCCAGTAAAATTTATTTTTTATTTTTTATTGGGGAATTGGGGGGATGGGAACAGCGCTGGGGAATTGGGGAGGGGGAAGGGGAACAGACAAGTTGCTGTCCTTTTGTTCTTCAGTCTAGTTGTGGAGGACGTTGCTTCACTGGCCCAAGTTGGCACCATCATTGTGCTCTTCCCGGGCGAGGCAGACCAGTCGCCGGCTTCTGGACGGCCGCTCACTGCGGCTGCTGGCTGCTCACGCTGGCTGCTGGCTACACACGGTAGCCCATGGCAACCCACTGCCACAGGGACTGCAGCCTACGCCGTCGCCGGCGACTCACGGCAGCCCAGCTCCAGGTTGAGCTGTTGTTCAGCATCTTAGCTGTAGAGGGCAGTGTCACTGGCCCTCATATGTGGGATCCGAACCGGGGACCTCTGGCGTCCCAAGCCAGTTCTTAACCATCGCGCCACTTGGCCGGCCCCCCCAGTAAAATTTTTTGTAAACTATTCCTGAGTCTCCTTCAACTTAGGGGAGGGGCCGCTTAGGTTCTGCATGACGACTATTTTCATAACTACACTTCATTTTTTAAAATCTCCAGATGTTGTGCTCTATGAGGTGTCATCTATATTACATATAAAAACTTTCTTAGGTGTACATTGTTTCCTAATTTTCAGCATCAGTCACGGTTTCTCTCTTTTTTATGATCTTTGTAGAGAGGGCAGATTGTTCAGGTTGAATCTTCCTGACGTCTTTCTTTCCCTCATCTTCATGTCTGCTTTCTTCTCTCTCATCTTAAGATTATATGTTTAATTTGGTGTTAGGGCTTAGATTTTGGCTCAATACAGTTTAACATGTTTTCCTTTTCTAGTGACTCTTCATCTAGATACTCTGATTGGACAGCTGATGCAGGCATCAATTTGCAGCCTCCATTACGAACATCATCTCGTCGGCGAATTACCCGATTTTGTAGTAGTTCAGAGGATGAAATGTCTACTGAGAATTTATCTCCTCCAAAAAGGAGACGAAAGAGAAAGAAAGAAAATGAGTCTAAAAATGAGGTAAGAAAATATCTTTAGAAATTAGAAATCTTTGGGAAATTGGAGCCTTTATTTTTTTATTGACATTGTTATGTCATCAGGAGTCAAATGTAAAATGTAAACTTATTTTTGGAAAAGATACTTTATTTTTAAAACTTCTCTTTCTTATCTGCTCTGAGTTGGACTTGGTGCTTAAGTATTTCTGAATCTGAAACTTAAAGGGAAAGCTCTGTTTTGCTCAGAATCCCACCATATCTCTTTTCTCCTGTTAATATCAACATGAAAAAAACCAAAAAACTTCAAGGCATTTTAAGGCATTTTCTTCTTCTTTTGTCTATTATGGCCATGTTTCCCATTTTCATTTGGTATGTTCTGTCTTCATATTTTTCTCGTAATTGTAATAATCCTATTCCTTACTAATGTACAGTGCTTGTGATCCTGTTGTGCAGGTAGCTGTCGTTACCCATGCTGTTACCTCTTTGTAGTAGTTATCCATTGCTGTGAAACGTATTACACTGAAACTTAGCTGCTTAAAACAGCAAACACGCATTACTTCATGTTTTGATGGGTCAGGCATTGGGGAGCTGATTAGCTTGGTGATTTTGGCTTATGAGGTTGCAGTGATCATATTGGCTGGGGCTGCAGCTGTTTGGAGGCTCGATTGGGCTCGATGATCTTCTTCACAGCTTATTCATGTGGCAGCTGGCCGGTGGCCTCAGTCCCTCATTGCATGAGCCTTTCCGTAGGGCTGCTTGAGTGTCTTCATGACATGGTGGCTGACTTCTCCCCACCTCCTGAGAGCAAGAGATCCAAAAGTGTAAGCGGGGGAGTAAGCCCTGCTGTCTTTCATGACCTAGTCTTAGAAGTCACACATTGTCACTTCTGCTTTATTCTATTCGTTAGAAGCACGTTGAGCCCATACTCAAGCAGAGGAGACTTTGGAGAGCTGAATATCATAGATGTGTGGTCATATTTTAAGAGCATCAGTCTTAAAATCTCAAATCAAGAGGAGAATTCCCATGGTGATGAGTCTGGTGAAATTCAGAGTGGCGTCCCGCCAAGCAGGCTGTGTGTTGTGGAGGACTTAGGTTGGAAATTGCCCCCATCCCTCAGATGTAAGGTGTTACGAAGAGCCTATTAGAAAATCAGGAGGTAGTACGAAAAAGGCTAGATAGAGCTACTTGCAGACAAGTGATGTGGTCCTGTGTAAAGGAACCAGATATGTATGCTGTTTAGAAACTAATTAGTAGGTAACGTGCCAATAAATAGTCATTCTGAATGGAGCAGTTTCTTCTGTTTTTTAGCCAAAGGGTACATGCTGCTCCTTTCTCTTCTACCAAACTTTGTTCTTCCTCTTGGCAGAATTTGCGGAGGGTGACTCCGACAGAGCTTGCAGATATGGAACATTTATGTGAATTGCATCCTCCAGTTTGGATAACTGACACCACACTTCGAAAGTCTCCTTTTGTTCCTCAGATGGGTGATGAGGTGAGACTCATCCAACTTAGAAACATGAGTGTGGAACATAAAATTATTACTCTTTAAGTTTTTTTATTTTTAAAAAATTTTTATTGGGGAATTGGGAGATGGTAACAGCGCTGGAGAATTGGGGGAAGGGAAACAGACAAGTTGCTGTCGTTTGTTCTTCAGTCTAGTTGTGGAGGACGTTGCTTCACTGGCCCAAGTTGGCACCATCATTGCTCTCTTCCCGGTCCAGGCAGATCAGTCGCCGACTTCTGGACAGCCGCTCACTGTGGCTGCTGGCCGCTCACGCTGGCTGCTGGCTACATGGCAACCCACTGCCCCAGGGGCTGCAGCCTACGCCGTCGCCGGCGACTCACGGCAGCCCAGCTCCAGGTTGAGCTGTTGTTCAGCATCTTAGCTGTGGAGGGCAGTGTCACTGGCCCTCATATGTGGGATCCGAACCGGGGTCCCCTGGCGTCCCAAGCCAGCTCTTAACCAATGCGCCACTCGGCCGTCCCACTCTTTTTAAGTTTTTATTTTTATTTTGAAACATGTGACTTCCTTTTGTAGGTAATATATTTTCGACAGGGTCATGAAGCTTATATTGAGGCCGTCAGAAGAAATAACATTTATGAACTGAACCCTAACAAGGAGCCATGGAGAAAAATGGATCTTAGGGTAAGATGATGATGTTATTAAACATTTAGCACATATATAATTAAATTACTTAAAAATCCATTAAAAAAACATGTAGGTATATCTTTACATTAATTTCCTACTTAAAAACATTTCTGCTGTTTCCTACTAAGCCTTAAAATCTGGCAGAAAGACTCGTGTTTATCAATGGGCAGTCTTTGTATATTGCTGATTGGCATGTAATATTCTAAATGCCTTAGTATTTCCTAGGAGGGTAGCTTTGCAGTATGTGTCATTAATCTTCAAATGCACATGCCCAGGATAGATTTTCAGAAGTGCAGGTTTTCAAAAGAAGAAATACCAGTCGGAAAAAAGCCTCAACCTCATGCATAATATAGAAAAACTTTAGCTCCTCTGTACTTAGCCAATTTTGTAAAATTTATTTGTTCATATATTTAAAGAAAATGCTAAAAGTTTTAGCAAGTTAGCGAAGGTTTTGGTTTGTTAACAGTTTTTCAAGTTGGTGATTAAGGGTGCATGAAACAGTCTAGGTTTTGTAGAGGGTATCTTGGCAGTTGGAATTGAAACTGAAAAATATTTAGACCTTTTAAATCAGTGATTTTACTTCTGGTAATTTTGGAAACAATGAGAAATGCATTCAAACTTATGAGCAAGGCAGTTCTATGTCATTGTACACGGAAACAAAAAAAAATTGAAAAAATCCAGATGTCCCACAATACTGAATGAATCAAGTCATGGCATATTTCACACATTTGACTGTGTAGAGTCTACCATATAATTGAGGCTTCTAAAGTATTTGTTGAATGAATGGTTGTTAAATTTTCACAATGTGTTATTCAGGAAAAATGGCGCACGAAACACTGTTTGTTATGATAAAAATTGAAAGACATATGTAGCCCAACCATATACTTTTATGTTTTCGATACTTTCAATAATAACTGTTAGAAGAGGAAAAATATTTTAACCAAAGATAAGCTGTTCTTAACACTCACAATGATCTTAATGGCTGTACTTCTATGAATTTGGCTTTCGATACGTTCAGATTTATTTATGTTTGTTTCACTTATTACTGTGTACCTAAGTAAAGTTGATTCTCTTTATTCACGGAATACATATTTGTGAAATTGCCTATTCGCTGTCTGTTACTTGTAACCCCCCAAGTCAATACTCAGGGTGCTTTCTGGTCATTTGCAGATATGCATAGTGTGGCAAACAATTTGATTTTCTTGACCAGCATGTTCCCAGCTGAGGTTGAACAAGGTGATGCCTTCTTATTTGAGCTCTCACATTGTAAAAATTGTCATTTTTGCAGTCTATTCAATGCCACATTAAAAACGTTTCACATTTTTGTGCTTTTTGTTGGTGGCTGACTGTTTAAAATTGCCCCCAAGCATAGTGGTAAAGTGCCATCTTGTGTGCCTGAGCACCTTACAGAGAGTATTATGTGTGTTATGTTTTATTTAGGTATGAGTTACAGTGCTGTTGGCTTTGAGTTCAGTGTAAATGAGTCAGTGACATATGTTAAATGAGGGGTCCTTCAGCAGACATACTTATAACACATGCTTATGCATTGATTGGGAGACTGCAGTGTTGTGACCAGAGACCTTCAGGAACCTGACTCTGTTCCTCGCGGAGGAGTAGTTCAGTACCCCCCCAAACCGGTGTTCATTCAGTGCTCTAGGTGGCACTATAGAACATAACTACAGCGAATAATGAGAGTCAACTGAATTTCGCACTTGGGTGCATTATAACCACATATTCGTGCAAGAAGTAAATGGACGAATGATCTCTTGTGTGCTTAGTATTAAGGAAACACCTCAGGGGGAAGGTTAGTTGTGGCCTGTCCATTGATGGGTATCCCATCATGGTGGGGACTTTTCCTGTTCACTGTCCTATCTTTACTGTTCGAATAGGTCACGGCACTTAGTAGATCCTCAGATATTTATTGAAATGTATTAGGTAGAAGTTTACTATCAAGTTTTTGAAGAATATTCAATAAGCCAAAAAGCTTACACATTTTGATTTGCATAATACAAAATTATGTAAATGAAAATGAATTTCCTTGTGGCTTTATTCCTAGAGAAACAGATTGTTTACAGTGGTTATCTTTAGATACTGAGCGAATAAATTATTTGTGTGTTTTTTCTTATACTTTTTTTTTTTTTTTTTAAGATTTTATTGGGGAATTGGGGGAGGGGAACAGCGTTGGGGAATTGGGGAAGGGGAACAGACAAGTTGCTGTCCTTTTGTTTTTCAGTCTAGTTGTGGAGGACGTCGCTTCACTGTCTCATGTTGGTATTATCATTGTGCTCTTCCCGGGTGAGGCAGTTGCTGGCCACTGGATGGCCGCTCATGCTGGCTGCTGGCCACTCACGGTAGCTTACAGCAGCCCACTGCAGCCCCACTGCAGCCTATGCCGTTGCCGGTGACTCAACGGCAGCCTAGCTCCAGGTCGAGCTGTTGTTCACCATCTTAGCTGTAGAGGGCGCAGCGTCACTGGCCCTCCAAACGGGCCCTGCTGCTCAGAGCTGGCGTCCCAAGCCAACGTCTAACCAATGCGCCACTCGGCTGGCCTCTCTTACACATTTTTTAGTGTACAGCAGTCTCCCTTATCTGTGGGGGGTACGTTGCAAGACACCTCTCCGACCCCCCAGTGGGCACTGCCAAACCCTATATATATTACGGGTTTTTTTCTATACATATATATGATAAACTTTATAAATTAGGCACAGTAAGAGATTAAGAACAATAGCTAAAAATAGAACATTTATAATACATGATAATAGAAGTTATGTGAATGGCTTTGGGGCCATTATTAGGTAAAGGTTACTTGAATACAAGCACTGTGATACCGAGACAGTTGTTCATCTGATAACCTGAGATGGCTACTAAGCGACTAATGGCTGGGTAGTGAATACAGTGTGGAGACGCTGGACAAAGGGCTGATTCACATCCTGAGTGGGACAGAATAGGATAGCATGAAATCTCATCTTGCTACTCAGAACAGTGCACAATTTAAAACTTAAGAATGGTTTATTTCTGGAATTTTCTATTTAATATTTTTGGACTGCGGTTAACTAGGTAACTGAAAAGGCAGAAAGCGAAACCATGGATGAGGGGGATTATTATATTTTCTAAAGTGACTATATTTCTTTTATTAGAAACAGTATTAAATCTCTGTTTTCAAAAAGATTTTGCGTTAGCAAAAATGATTGTAATTACTGGTAAAGTCAACTTGTCCGCTGGTTTGGAAGCCTAAATTGTGAGTTGACTAAATTTTGCATTATGAAGAGTATTAGTCTTGAAGAATTGCTTTATTTTAACCATTCTTTAAAAAAAAAATCTCTTCAAGGATCAAGAATTGGTCAAAATAGTTGGAATACGATACGAGGTTGGGCCCCCTACACTCTGTTGCCTCAAACTAGCATTTATAGATCCTGCAACTGGAAAACTTATGGACAAATCTTTCTCTATTAGGTATGTATTTTCCTTTTTTGTGGAATTATTGCTGATTAGCTTGCTCTTTCCATTTAGCTGCAGGGTAGACTAGATAGTAGGGCGCCATGGACAGCCTAAGATGTGGGTTGAAGTTCTGATAGATGGGAACCCACTAGGAGTAAAAATAAAGGTGCTACAGCAACAGTTAGGCATTGGCATGTTTTATAAATCTTTCTATGCCGCTTAAATGTGTGGATAATTCTGGCCTGTAGGGGAAATTGCCCCCGCTTTTGCTTTTGAGAAAATGTTAGAGTAATTTGCTAAGTAAACCTGTGTTGTCCAATATGGTAGCCATTAGCCACATGTGGCTGTTAAGCCCTGAAAATGTGGTTGATTAGACTGGAGTGGGATGTAAATATGCACTGTGAATTTTGAAAAGTTGGTGTGAAGGAAAAGAATGTAAAATACCTCATTATTTTGTATTGATTATGTGGTGAAACACTATTTGGGATATATTGGGTTAAATAAAATACACTATTAAAATTAATTTCACTGGTTTCTGTTTATATTTTTTAATAAGGCTAGTCGAAAATTAGAAACTACATATTTTGGCCCCTATTGTATTTCTATTGGACAGCTTTGCTCTAGATTATAACCTGATTATCTTTTATTTGTGTTTAGATATCATGATATGCCAGATGTTATTGACTTTCTTGTGTTGCGTCAATTTTATGATGAAGCAAGGCAGAGGAACTGGCAGTCTTGTAAGTCTGTCCTTATTGAGTTTTATATTCCCTTAGAAATTAATCTGTATAAAAGTTATTTGGTGTGGTACTGCTTATTAGGGTGGATGCAAACACGTAAATTCTGGTAAGAAGTATAAGTGCTGGTAAGTATTGGGTCGTCGGAAAAGTCATGACGCATGTTTGCCACAGATGGCACTAGTTCTTTTTTGGAAGTACTAGAGTCATTCGCATCTGTGTTATTGCTATGTTGTTTGACAGCTGACAGTTTTGGTTCATTCTAAAAACAAAATTGAGCTATTTGGTTGAATTTTGGAGATTTTACAACACATTGAAGATGGAAGACCAAACTGCATTTTTGCCATATTTTACTGTTTTACTTCAGTAAAGGGAAGAACGCACGTCAAACTTGTGAAAAGTTGCGTAAAGTTTACAGTGACAATGTGCTACAAGAATGTCAATGCCAACGATGGTTCATGAAATTTCGTGCCGGTGATTTTGATCTCAAAGATGCTCCTTGGTCAGGGAGGCCCACCGAGGTTGATGATGACAAAATAAAGTCATTGATCGAGTCAAACGCATGTTGCATGACACGAGAGATGGCAGAAACATTGAACATCATCATTCAAGCATTCACGACCACCTGAAGAAGCTGGGGTACGTAAGCAAGCTCGATATTTGAATTCTGCATGAGCTCAAAGAAGTTCATTTGATAGCACATACAAACATCTGCAATATGCTCATTAAACATGAAGAAAACAATTCTTTTTTGAAGCAACTGATAACTGGTGATGAGAAGTGGATTGTTCACAACAATGTGGTGTGCAAACGGTCTTGGTCCCGACGTGATGATTCACCTCAAACGGCATCGAAAGCAGTCATTCATCAGAGGAAGGTTATGCTCTCAGTGTGGTGGGATTTTAAAGGTGTTGTGTTTTTCGAGCTCTTACCAAGGAACCAAACAATCAATTCGAATGTGTACTGTCGGCAATTGGACAGTTTAAACGAATCCATCATCCAGAAACGTCCAGAGCTTGTTAATTGTAAAGGAGTTGTGTTCCATCGTGACAACGTGAGATCACACACCTGTCAAAAATTATTGGAGCTTGGATGGGATGTGTTGCCACACCCACCATACTCGCCTGATCTTGCGCCGTCAGACTTCCACTTGTTTTGCTCTCTTCAAAACTCCTTTAATGGTATAATGTTCAATTCAGATGAGGCTGTAAATCAGTACCTTGTTCAGTTTTTCACAAAGACAGGTCCTTCTATGAACGAGGAATTATTAAGCTCACTGAAAGATAGCAAAAGGTTATTGAACAAAACGGGCAATGTATCATTGATCTTTGTTCATTATATAAATAAATGACCTTTGAAAAACATAGACAAAATACGTCGTGACTTTTCTGAAACCCCATATATTTTGCTTAGGGCTTGGTACTTCCTTTTTTTTTTTTAAGATTTTATTGGGGAATTGGGGGAGGGGAACAGTGTTGGGAAATTGGGAAAGGGGACCAGCCAAGTTGTTCTTCAATCTTTGTTGTGGAGGGCACCAGTCACCATCTGGCTGCCCTTTGGCAGCTTGTGACCTCTAAGCTCAAGGTGCTGTATTCAGTCTTTAGTTGTGAGTGGGCGTAGCCACCATTGCATGCAGGAGTTGAACCAGCAGCCTTGTTAAGAGCGCACGCCCTATCCACTGAACCATCCGGGAGGCAGCTCAGCTCAAGGTGCCGAGTTCAGTCTTAGTTGCGGGTGGGCGTAGCCCGTCAAACAGGCAATCTTTTTACACTAGCTGAGCCATCCTGCCACCTGTTGGCAGCTCAGCGACAGCTCAGCTCGGGCACAGCGTTACTGGCCCATGTGGGAATTGAACCGGTGGCCCTGTTGCTCAGAGCTTGCGCTCTTAAGCCAACTCTTAACCAGCTGAGCCACTTGGCTGGCCCACGTCCTACTTCTTAGTAGACTTTTTAGCCAAGCAATATTTCTTCTGTTCTTATGGTATGTGACATTTTGAAGGGGCTATTTCTTACTCATTGACTATAGTCTAGGGCAGTAGACCTTGGATTTCCCTTCAGACTTCTCCATGCTGCATTATCTCTAGTTATCTTTAACATGACACTGGTGAATTCACAAAATTATCCCATGATGTAAAACAACCAGAAAGTTGAAAAATAATGTGGGTTTCACACAGATAATATTCTGGTATACCAGAATATTTTATCTTTGATATCATATCAACCCAGGCTTAAATAGTCTGATTTAAGGCAACCATTCCTTTAAAAAATATGCTGTATAACCATGACGTGGATGTGTGGTCCAGAAAAAATAAAATCACCTCAACTTGGGCACTAATTTGAATGTTGTTTTCATGGTGACCATTTAAGGTGGCTGATGGGCTCACTTGCTTAGATTTGTGCAGGACATTAATCTCTTCAGGACATAGTTGGTGACTGTACGCAGGCCAGGTAATACCATTTAGCAACTGTAGTACCTGTTCCACAGGTGTACGTATGGTATTATTTTTCAGTATGGAATGTTATCTTGGGGTGCTTGTATGTTGAGATTGACTTGAGTTATTTATACTTGTGTTAACTTATACTACTGTCATCAGTTTTGGCCTCTTATTAGAAATACCAAGGGGCCGGCCGAGTGGCGCGATGGTTGGGATTTCGCTTGGGATGCCAGGGGGCCCCGGTTTGGATCCCACATATGAGGGCCAGTGACACTGCCCTCTACAGCTAAGATGCTGAACAGCGGCTCAACCTGGAGCTGGGCTGTCATGAGTTGCTGGCGACGGCGTAGGCTGCAGCCCCTGCTGCAGTGGGTTGCCATGGGCTGCCGTGTGTGGCCAGCGGCCAGCGTGAGCGGCCAGCAGCCGCAGTGGGCGGCCGTCCAGAGGCCGGCGACTGATCTGCCTCGCCGGGGAAGAGCGCAGTGATGGTGCCAACTTGGGCCAGTGGGGCGGCGTCCTCCACGACTAGATTGAAGAACAAAAAAAAACGACAGCGGCTTGTCTGTTACCCTTCCCCTAATTCCCCGGCACTGTTCCCATCCCCCCAATTACCCAATAAAAATCTAAAAAAAAAAAAAAAAAAAAAAAAAAAGAAAAGAAATACCAAGTTCTAGCCAGGCTGTGTCATCTGGTATACACATTCATAAATGATGTTAAGATCTTATTAGTTTTTCTAGTTTCTGCCACCCTTTTCTGCAGATAATAAATACAAGCAGGTACCTTTTAGATAAATACCCTGAGCCATCCCTATTTGAAACCACGATTGTCAGAGTGAGTATTGCTTTTCTTAGTAGATTATTATTATTTTTTTTAAAAAGATTTTTATTGGGGAATTTGGGCAAGGGGAACAGACAAGTTGCTGTCCTTCTGTTCTTCAGTGTAGTTGTGGAGGACGTTGCTTCACTGGCCCAAGTTGGCACCCTCATTGCAGTCTTCCCAGGTGAGGCAGATCAGTTGCCGGCTTCTGGACGGCCTATCACGGTGGCTGCTGGCCGCTCATGCTGGCTGCTGGCTACACACGGTAGCCCATGGCAACCCACCTGCCGTCGCCAGCGACTCATGGCAGCCCAGCTCCAGGTTGAGCTGTTGTTCAGCATCTTAGCTGTGGAGGGCAGTGTCACTGGCCCTCATATGTGGGATCCGAACCGGGGCCCTCTGGCATCCCAAGCCAGCTCTTAACCAACGCGCCACTCGGCCGGCCCAGTAGATTATTTTTAATGGTAATGTCTGAATAAATAATTAAGGTTATTTTGGGTCTAGAGGTAAAGGAAATTTTTCTTGTAGAAAAACATTTAGCCACACTGCATGCATAATAGCTGGCATATGTGGGATTTAACAAGTCATACAGCCAAGTCCCAAAGAACTTTCAAGTTGCTCATCTGTCGATGCTTTTTCAACCCCCATGACAGTCAGAAGCTCTTAACATTGTTTTGTCAAAAAGTCCATTCAAAAAATTTTTAAACTTAATTCTCTATAGCAAAATTCTAGAGATGGATTCCCAATTGCCCTTTATAGTTTGGTGGTTTATGCCTTATTTTTGTGGTTGAGAAATGAGTGTACCAGTTCTTTTATACTAATTAACTAATTTTTGCTCCCATGAGATCTTACCCATTCTCCTGAAGTTTGATCTGTGCTCTTAGAGGGAGTAGCTTGTTTCTATTTTTACTGTGTTAAGAACTTGGCAGAAGTTTATCCTACTCTTGAATAGCCAAAATAGGTTTATTTGATAATTCTTCATGGAATAGAAAAGCCAATATTTACCATGAGAAAACTAATTTTTATGGCTCCTTTTTTTTTTTTAAAGATTTTATTGGGGAATTGGGGGGATGGAAACAGTACTGGGGAATTGGGGGAAGGGGAACAGACAAGTTGCTGTCGTTTTGTTCTTCAGTCTAGTTGTGAAGGACGTTGCTTCACTGGCCCAAGTTGGCACCATCACTGCGCTCTTCCCGGGTGAGGCAGATCAGTCGCCGGCTTCTGGACGGCCGCTCACTGCGGCTGCTGGCCGCTCACTGCGGCTGCTGGCTACATAGGGTAGCCCATGGCAACCCACTGCCACAGGGGTTGCAGCCTACGCCATCGCCGGCGACTCATGGCAGCCCAGCTCCAGGTTGAGCTGTCATTCAGCATCTTAGCTGTGGAGGGCAATGTCACTGGCCCTCATATGTGGGATCCGAACCGGGACCCTCTGGCATCCCAAGCGAGTTCTTAACCATCGCGCCACTCGGCCGGCCCCTTTTATGGCTCCTTTTAATTTAAAGTGTTTGTCTTACACTGAAGAAATATTTTTGTCCGAACTGAATGTATCTTCTAGTATTAGATAAGTAGGGAAGAAAAATATTATAAAATTAATTCTTGGTATCAAAGACTCACTGCTGTATAATCATATGTTTTAATATTAATCATCTCAGAATGAAGCCACTGGATTTGTTATTATCATAATACTTATTGTAGTAAATACTGTTATTGCTGTTTATGCTAAATTAGGTTATTTACATTACAGACAAAAACCATGGTGTTATATCAGACTTTTAGTGTATGCCTTTCATTTAAAAAGTTAGAAAAAATTTATTAAGATTTATTTCTGAAGCTGAAGTTTCGTTTTGGAATATATATTAATGAGAACCTTTTAAAAGTAGAATTTTATTAATGGTAGAGAGATGGGTAAAGGGATGAAGGGCTTACAGGTTTTTAGTGCTTTTGATGTAAAATGTACATAGAGGTCATGTTTACATGAATTCAAAAATACATTAAGAACCTTAAAATCTGTAACTCTGACAGTTGTGATACTACTGTTTTTTACAGAATTCACTGTCAGCATACTCTTTAGTCAAGACTCTGTGGGTATTATGTAACTGTTCTCTTAGAGGTGCAATGTAGCTTTAATTTTGATTGCTACTGTTTTCATAAAATTTTCCTTGAAAAAGAGTTGTTAACCTAGCAAAGAATTACTAATGCTGGATAATTTCTTTCTCTTAACTGTTTTTGTTTTGAAAATGGTGGGATGCTTGGGAAGGAAGAAATAGGGTATTGTAGCAGTCTGTTTCTTTTGTAATATATGTCATACAAACATCAAACACAGTTCTCTAGAACTGTGTTACAGTTGTAGGATACATTTAGAAATGTGCATGATTTAAAATCCCTGAAGTCAGTTAAAGTATTTGTTCCATAGTTGGTTTTTATGTTATGCTGAGATAATGGGACATGTGGAGGTTTTATTCTTTGGAATAACAAATAATGGTAGTGTTGAGGGTAGATTTAGACCTATTTTTTATTATGAGGTCTTAAGAATTAGAACACTTATGTGAAGACATTTAAATAGGAACAACTTTAGAAGAATCATGGATTAAATTCTAATCATAGTTTTATAATTTGTTTTATTCAAAGAAATGTTATTTCATAAGTATATGTATATAATATACTATTTTTTAAATTAAAAAAATTAGTTTCAAGTGTACAATACAACATAATGATTAGACATTTACACCCCTCACAAAGTGATAACCCCCCCCAAGTCTACTACCCTTCTGACATCGTACATAGCTGTTACAGTACCATTGACTATATTCCCTATGCTGTACTTTACATTCCGTGACTATATGTATGTGCGTGTGTGCGTGTGTGTGTGTATAAATATATGTTATAGTTGACACTCAATATTATTCTACATCAGCTTCAGGTATACAGCACAGTGGTCAGGCATCTACATAGTCCAGGAAGGGATCCTCTATAAGTCCAGTGCCCGTCTGACACCCTACATAATCTACACAACATTATTGATTATATTCCCCATACTGTATTTCACAGCAGCCCAGCTCCAGGTTTAGCTGTTGTTCAGCATCTTAGCTGTAGAGGGCGCAGTGTCACTGGTCCTCATATGTGGGATCCTAACCGGGGCCCTCTGGCGTCTCAAGCCAGCTCTTAACCATCGCGCCACTCGGCCGGCCCACTCATACTGTATTTCATATCCTCGTGACTATTTTGTGACTACCAGTTTGTACTTTCTAATCCCTTCACCTTCTCCCTCATCCCCCAGCTCCCCTCCCATCTAGCAACCATTAGTTTTTTCTCTGTATCTCTGTGTCTGTTTTGTTTTGATATACTTATTAAACAAATATGTATTGATAGTATACATTGTTGTAAAGGATTTTTGAGTTTTGTTAAACTTGATCCTTCAGTTCATGTTGCAGAACTTATTGGAGTGGGAGTTTGGATCCACTAAACAACAGAACCTGGCCATAACGCTTTAGTCTAGTATGTTGTATGGTTGTAGACCCTTCAGTAAAAGGCTGAGTGTAACATTGTATCTGTTTTACATCTGTTTGGTCACTGAAGATTGCTGGAAAGTGGAGAGGAATGGCTGACTTTAACATAAAAATATACTTTGATTTCTGTTTTATCTGTATCATACGGTATTTTATAAATTAAAAATGTTAGTGTTGCAAACTGGTGTCTGATTGGTCATCTCTCTTCTAGGTGACAGGTTCCGTTCTATCATTGATGATGCTTGGTGGTTTGGAACGGTGCTCAGTCAAGAACCCTATCAGCCACAGTACCCTGATAGTCATTTCCAGTGTTACGTTGTTAGGTCTGTATGCAGATGGAACTGAATCTATAGACATTTGTTTGTTGTGGCAGGTGGTTGGATACATAACAGGTTAAAACAACACCGATTTAATTTGTCAGGAAGTCATGTCACAGTCTCTAGCATGGCCCTGTTGTTTCCTGCTCACCAGTACCCCGTTGGTGCGGCCTCTGCCTGCTTCCCTGGGACCATTTCTCCCCAACCTGATAGTGAGTGCTGCATTTTTATGCAAGAGCACACGCTACACCTTTTCCTTTGTTCAAAAAATCGGTGCTGATTTTCTGTTGGCTGCGGAATCAAGTCCATGCTCTGAAGCATCATCACGTGCAGGCCTTCACATTGTCTTTGAGTTTTTCTTTACTTACCCTGGTAGAGGCCACACAGGATTTCTGGTTTTGTCCTTGAACCTGCCATACATTTTTACACTTATTTTTTAATAATGTATCCTTGTAAAGATTTGTACTGTTAAATATGTAAACTTTCACTGCCACAAGGAAGCGTTTTGTCATATTTTCTGTCTTTCTGATTACTCTTGTAATAGATACCTAGCTACTAGCTCTAGGTTGCTTTCCGGAGGCTAACCAGGTTTCTCTGTCGGCTTTAACAGGTGGGACAATACTGAAATGGAAAAGCTTAGCCCATGGGACATGGAACCAATTCCTGATAATGGTATGCAATTGTTAATGAAAATATTTTACCTTTGTGTTTCTAATTTTTTATCTTACTAAAATAAAGCACATAGAGCAAATTGTATTCTTTGAGAAGTGTTTTCAAATTATCATGGTAACTGTGAGCTTTACGAAAAGAAGTCAACAGAATTATGTGTATCTGGTTCATTAATTCTTTTTTTTTTTTTTTATTGGGGAATTGGGGGGATGGGAACAGTGCTGGGGAATTGGGGGAAGGGGAACAGACAAGTTGCTGTCGTTTTGTTCTTCAATCTAGTTGTGGAGGATGTTGCTTCACTGGCCCAAGTTGGCACCATCATTGCGCTCTTCTCTGGCGAGGCAGATCAGTCGCCGGCTTCTGGACGGCCGCTCACTGCGGCTGCTGGCCGCTCACGCTGGCTGCTGGCTACATACGGTAGCCCATGGCAACCCACTGCCACAGGGAGTGCAGCCTACGCCGTCGCCGGCGACTCATGGCAGCCCAGCTCCAGGTTGAGCTGTCATTCAGCATCTTAGCTGTGGAGGGCAGTGTCACTGGCCCTCATATGTGGGATCCGAACCGGGGCCCTCTGGCATCCCAAGCGAGTTCTTAACCATCGCGCCACTCAGCCGGCCCTGGTTCATTAATTCTTATCCTGAGTTTCCTGCTTGATGCTGGCTGTGCCTTAATAGCCCACTATCATTTCTATGTAAGCCTGCTTTAAACTCTTTAGACCTCCCTCACACAGCCTCTATTTCCTTTTCCTCATTCTTACTCTCTTATCCTTGTTCGATCTTCAAAGAAAAGTTCTAACTTTACTTTCACCTGTCGTCTGCTTTACCTCAACTTGTCTGTCTTCCTATGAATTGTCTGTCCCCTTCCCTTGAGAGAGAAATGTCTCTGTTCCAAAGCCAGCCTCTTCCTTCAGTGAATGTCATCCCATTGCTATTAACTTCTGTCAGACCTGGCACGTACACATAGTTCATTCCTTTCAAGAATTTTAGTTTCCTCCTTCCTGTCTCCATTTGAGTTCAAATTTGTCTCTTATGCCTTACAACACTTATTATTTGGCTTTATTGAACATTTTATCTACTGAGTTATTTCCCTCTTGCTAAACTTTTTGAAGGGGTGCTCTCTGTCTCTTTCCTCCATTTCTTCACTTTCAAGCTTTCTTTTACATTAGTGTTTATTCAGTGTAAAAACATACAAAAACTTTTGTGCCTCCACCCCACCATTTTTTGGCACATGAAATGTTGGTTCTGTGTGTTTGTTCCTGTGTCTGCCCTCGGGGCTGAGCAGGCCTTTTCCCTTTGTGTTTCACTCTCTCACACATCTTCAGCAGCCGTTGTCTTGATTTACTTTGGAAAGAAAGGATTTTTATGGGAATAAGGAATTTTCTTCCAAAAATGTTTTTCTAATAAGTTCACTCTTGAAAGTCCCCAGTGACTCCCCTTGTTAGATTTTCATTTGAGCTCAGTATCTCACAAGTAATAGGAATGAAATTTTGCAGTGTAGAAAGCGTGTAATAGATAATTAGAAACGAACATTTTTTGAGGTCATACTCTGTTCCTAAGAACTCTATCAATTCATTTAATCTGAGGTTGATGCGCTATTATTAATTTCACAGATGAAATAACTAAGGCTCCAAGAGTTTGCAGTAACTTGTTTAAAGTCACACACACATCTAGACAGGATAGGAGTTGGGATTCTAGCCCAAGCCATCTGACTGTAACCAGTGCTTTTAACTGCAGTTTATAGTTGCTCTTTTGTAAAGGATGTTACAAAGCAGTGCAAGCACTTACATAAATTAATGTTAATGAGGCCAGTAAGGCTTTAGAAGAATTGTCAAAAGACATGAGCAGGAAGAAAAATAAATGCGGAGGCATATGAAGAGAGGCTTGTTGTATTAATGTTCTTGGAAATGTGTATTAAAGTAACAATAAAATATGGTCTTAACTATTGCATTGTTAGATGGATACGTTTATCTTCTAGTTCTGTTGACAGTTTTCTTTTATTTATAATTTTCAAGAAAAAGCTCTCTGAATATTTACACTGCCTCTTGTTTCTTAAAATGTGGATTTTCATTATCAATTTTTATTGTACTTTTTAACATTTCACTTTGAAGTAATTTTAGATTTACAGAATGTTACAGAAATAGAAATAGTACAAAGAATTTCTGAATACCCAGTTTTCTCAAATGTTAACATCTTAGTTAACTACAGTGCGGCTCTCAAATCAGGAAATTGTGTCTGACGCCATTCTGATCTATAGACCTTCACATTTGGATGATGATCCTAATGTCTTTTCACACATTGGAGTCTATTGCATGTCTTAGTCTCTCTTAATTGGGGATCCCTCTGAGCCTTTCCTTTATCTTTCATGACCATGACACTTCTGAAGAGTACTGGCCAATTATTTTATAGATTTTCTCTCAGTTTGGGTTTGTCCAATGTTTTCTCATGATTAAATCCAGGGTTTGCATGTTGGGCAAGAGTGTGAGAGAAGTGATGTTGTGTCCTCAGTGCATTGTAGCAGGAGGCACGCGCTATCAATTTGTGTTGTTCCTGGGGATGTGAACTTGAATCCTTTGATGTAGGTGGTATCTGTCAGGTTACTCTGCTTTAAAGTAACTATTTTTTCCTTTGTAATTAGTGTCTTGTTTATGACTTTTGACAATTGAATTTAAATACGGTGTGTATTTGTTCTTTGGTTTAATTTTTTTCTTTTCGTTTTCTTTTAATGGAATTCATAGTTGATCCACCTGAAGAATTAGGAGCTAGTATTTCTGTCACTTCAGATGAACTAGAGAAATTGCTCTACAAACCACAAGATGGTGAATGGGGTCAGAAATCGAGAGATGAAGAATGTGAACGAATTATTAGTGGTATAGATCAACTTTTGAATCTTGGTAAGTTTTTAAGGTGAAAAGTTTCATGTTTAAGTTTTCTCACAAGTATTTTAAAATAGTATCATAATTGTGGTTGTGTTCATTACTATAATTTCTGTTTGTTACCTTTTGTAGTGAAATTTATCTCCATTTTATGAATGAATTGTAGAGAAATGTCACTTAGAGGTAATGAATTTATTGATAAAAATTCTTCTGTCTGCCTTTGTAGATATAGCAGCAGCTTTTGCAGGTCCAGTTGATCTGTGCACATATCCGAAGTACTGTACTGTTGTAGCTTATCCAACTGATCTTTACACAATTCGAATGAGACTCGTTAATCGATTTTACAGGTTAGTAGAAACCTACTTTAAAAATAGTTTGAAAAGATATTTGTCCATACCAACTAGAGTAAACAGAGGTGGTGGTTGATGGTGACCAGGGTGGAATAGGGACTGGTTAACATTTTCTGTTTCAGTTGTCTTTTTTTTTAAGATTTTATTTTTATTGGGGAGTTGGGGGAGGGGAACAGACAAGTTGCTATCCTTTTGTTCTTCAGTCTAGTTGTGGAGGACGCCGCTTCACTCGCCCATGTTGGTATTATGATCATTGCACTCTGCCTGTCTCCGGCCACTGGATGGCCGCTCATGGTGGCTCACAGCAGCCCACACTGCAGCCTACACGCTCATGGCAGCCCAGCTCCAGGTCGAGCTGCTGTTCACCATCTTAGCTGTAGAGGGCGCAGCATCACTGGCCCATGTGGGATCCAAGCCGTGGCCCTGCTGCTCAGAGCTCATGCTCCCAAGACAACTCTTAACCAACTCTTAACACGCCACTTGGCCGGCCCTCATTTGTCTTTTATTATTGTAATTTTTTTTGGTCATGTAAGATCGTGTTAAGTGCCTATGGGTAGGTGTGGATAGAGCCTAAATAAGAAAAATTACCAGATTTCATTCCTCAATCTTGAGTGGTCTGTTTTTCTTACAAATTATGTTAAGTAGTTAGAAATTATATACGTATATATAATATACACACACTTTCATACACACACACACACACACACACACACACACACACACACATACATATACATACATTTACTTATGTTAACTTTCCTGTTTAGCTGCTCCATTTAAAAGTAAAGTTTAACTTAGTTGATCACTGAACTTTGGCCTTTGAAAGAGTAATTCTCCAGAGTCATCTACTTTTCATTCTGGCTTCTAGAGCACTAATAATTATAAAATTTCCTATTCTCAATGATTTTTTTTTTTTTAACAAATCGATGGTATTTTATTCTTACAATTTAACTTCTTCGAAAAATTATCATTATGAATAACTGACTTCTTGAGTAGTTTACATTGTTGGTATAATTTATCTCTGTGGTTAGACATGGAAATGTGCATTTGATCAGAAACCACTTTGCCAGTTTACAATGAGATTGACTCTTAGGTTTGGGTGTTGAACACATTTTCTTCGCTGAGTCTCACAACTTCAAATGTCCTGATAAGGCAGTGTGAAAAGGGAGGGTTGCTCTGTTGGTTTTCTGGATGTGATTAACAGATCTGTTAAGATTTTTGGTCCTTAGATGTATTCTCTCCAGTCCAGCATCCACTGTTACAGCTTATAACTGTGATCAAGTTGACAACACAAAAAGGTTATTCATTGTTACTTTGCACTTATGGTTTAATTCATATATTGGGTTGTTGGAAAAGTCATGACGTATTTTTTCTATGTTTTTCGTTGCAAAAATGAGTCATGACTTTTCCGACAACCCAATATAAGGCTGGCTTCACATGCTGGATTTTTTACTTGGTTTCTGTCTTTTCATTTTCTAAACCCCAAATTGCCTACTTTTTATTTTGAAGGAGGCTGTCTGCATTAGTTTGGGAAGTCAGATATATAGAACATAATGCCAGAACATTTAATGAACCTGAGAGTGTAATTGCAAGATCAGCTAAGAAGATAACTGACCAACTTCTAAAATTTATCAAGTAAGTGATCTCATATTATAGATGTGGGAAAGTGACTGCATATTATGTTCTTGCAACCATCTAGGTCTTAATTTTTACTCTCTGAATTATGCCCTTTTAATGTATCACTTTAAATGACATTTCTTTACATACTTGCAGTGATTATAATTTCCGTAAAGGAATAAGAAACTAAACAATCCAAATTTTTCTACTTTTTAATATTTTGAAATAATTTTTTACTACCGAGACTTGCCCCATATGTATCTCCTTCAACCTGTTTCCACTTAGGTTAACATTTTACATATCTGTGGTGTCCTGATGAAATGTTAAGAAATTATCTTAGGTACAGTACTACTGACTAAAGTGTAGCACTCACTTGGATTTATCAGTTTTTACATCAGGGTCCTTTTTCTGTTCCAGGAACCAATCCAGAATCCCCATCACATTCACTGTTTGGTTTTCTTAATTTTCTTTAACCTGTTCCCTAGTTTTTCCTTTCTTTCATGACCTCATCATTTTTTATGAGTGTTAGATGATTACTGTGTAGCGTGTACTTAATTTGGGTTTGTCTGATGTTTTCTCATGATTAGATTGAGTTTTAATCTGTGGATTGTATCCTGTGAGAGTGTTTGTACATGCATGAATATTCCAAATACTTTCCTGCTTTGGGAAGTTAATTTGGAATAAATAGTATGATGAATGAAGACTGACCTGGAAATTGAGATCCAAGGTCTAGTGAACATTCTGTGTGACTTTGGACAAATTATGCAGCCTGTATCCTTTAAAATCAGTGAGTTTTACTATATGATCCTTGTATGCCTTTTTCCTGTAGCAATTAAAAAAATAATTCTGTAATAAAGTTTCAGGAACAATACTGTGCATAACCGCATACCCTTCACCTAGATTCATCGTTTTGTTACATTTTCTTTATCCTTCCTTGTGTACATGCACAGTGTCTATCTGTGTATGTCTATCTATCTCTCTGATAATGTGTTTTCTAAACTTTTTAGACTGAGTTGGAAACATGACATTTTATCCTTGAATGTTTCTTCCTATATCTTCTAAGAACAGGAACATTCTTTTATTTAATCATAATACAGCGACCACAGCCAACAAACTTTGTTTTTATTGAAAGAATACTGTACTAGAGAAGATAATTTATAAACTGTGCCATCATTTTCAGTATCCAGCTACAAATTGGGGAATATCTGATTCGAGCCTATCTCACTTTCCTGGGTTAACTTGTCCTATGTTTGGAGGACTCAGACTTAGTGCCTTTTCCCCAAAACTTTCTTCTTTTTTTCTTCAGGAAGATCACATACCCATTTTCATCTCCTTTATGCCTGGATGTCCCTACTTTAGCATTCTTTCTTCTTTGTGTACAGTGAGATTAAGATATAATTTGCTTTAATTTCTACTTCTTTTCCTTCTGTTGTGTTTTATCTCAAATCAGTCATTTTTCCTGGTACTCACTGTATGGATATTATTAGTGATGATACTTAGAAAAACTAAATTCATGTATTCGTCCAACTGAGGGCATAAATATGTTATTTCTGGATTATCAGCTTAATTTCTGTACATACTTAACTGAATAAAAAAACCTTACTTTCAATATTCTAAGATGGTCAGTTATTTCCACAGAAGGTAGAGTAAAATCCTGATATTTCTCTGCTTGAAATTAGTATGCATAGTTGGGCAACTGTTTATATCTAACCCATAGTTTGAATCTTTGACAACATAACTACATTTGCCTACAGTTAAAAGAGTGAAAAATTGTTTTTTAGGAATCAAGACTGTACAAATATCTCAGAACTTTCTAACACTTCTGAAAATGATGAGCAAAATGCAGAGGATTTGGTATGAAGTTTGTCAATTTTACAATAATTTTTGATAATTTCAAATGGTAACTTGAAAATAATGAGTGAAGTAGAAAATGTTGACTACCTGTAATTAATTCTTGCTATATTCCAGTGAACTATGAATATAGAGCACTTGATAAAAATATATTTTTTAATTATCTAGATGGTCAATGATATAATTTGTTTCAGCCAATAATTGATAGGAATATATCAAACAAAATACATATGTCCAAGTGAATAACTTCAGTGTGGATTATGTTCTCTTTCCAAATTTTAGCTAGAGAAAGGTACATTAAAGAAATACCTTAGACACGTTTTTGGTAAAACCAATATCTGAGAGTTGGATTTAATTGTAATTAAAAATTAGTGAACACTTAATAAAAAATTTTTTTGAAAATTCCAAATGAAAAATTTTAAATCTTAAAAAATTAGTGAATTTTAGATGCTCAAAGTACCCTCAAGTCCTTCCCTCAAGATGGGTTTGGTTTGAAGTGTAAGTAAAGGCCAGTATCAGTGATGTGGTGTCACTGCACTTCCTGCAGAATCAGGCTGTCGGATGGAGTTGCGGGAAAGATAGTCTTTAAAAACTACATAGCTTTAATTTCAACACAAATTTTTATTGTAGTTCACTGTTTTTCACGCTAATTTGTATTGGAATAAAAATGGATATACTCATGTGATTTAGGGAATAAGAAAATGTGTAGAGTACAAAATTCAGGAACTATAAAAGACGGTTTCTGGGGTTTATAAAAAGAGAGAAAACACAAATTTAAAGCAGCTTTTTATAGCTATGTTTTGGAATTAGTGCATGTTCTTAGGGAATGTAAAGGGTTATTAAGAATGATTGGTTTGTTGGAACCTGCATGCCACAAAGATCATCTGATAGAGTTTGTGTTTTGCGATTTTGTTAAGTTGTAATGCTTGTAAGACCTAACGTCTTTGTTATGTTTTTAAAATGAAGATTATTACATTCTAATGAGAATATTAACACTTAAGGTGCCCTGATTTTTATTCCTAGGATGATAGTGATCTTCCTAAAACATCTTCTGGAAGAAGGAGAGTAAGTTCATCTGCCTGATTGACCTTCGTTGTTGACTTATTCTTTATTTTCAACTCAGCCTAAGATTTGAGGTGTTATCTCTTGAACGTTGCATTGATACAGATATGGAACCTCTTGTAAGAGAAAGGGGAGAAATTACTGACAGGGTGGATAGTTAGGTAAGGTTTAGTGGAAGAGTTTGGATTTGAACTTTGTTCTCAGAATGAGATAAAGTTAGAAGAGGACATTCAAAAAGTAGGGAAGTGTGGCATGTCAGTGGGCCAGCGAGGGCCCTGGCCGGACTGGTTAGAGGTTGGGTGTGGGAGTGAGCAAAATGGCTGTGTCTGGCTGTACGTTGGGAGCAGATTATGGTGATACTGAAAACCAACGTTTTCAGTTAAATTAGAGAATCAATTACACAGCCAAAGTAGATACGTAGATTTTGAGGGAAAAGAGGATAAGTGTGAAAGGAAGTGGGTTAGGAGTTAGTTGCAAGAACCTAGGAGTGAAGGATGGGAACCTAGTCAAGGATAGTGTTGGCTTGGAATGGAGACGAAGGGAAGGAGATGAGACCTTTTTAAGTAGCATCTGGTGACTGAACCTTTTTTTTTTTTTTTTTAATTGGGGAATTGGGGGGATGGGAACAGCGCTGGGGAATTGGGGGAAGGGGAACAGACAAGTTGCTGTCCTTTTGTTCTTCAGTCTA